AAAACTATTCTTTCATTTATCTATATATTTCACTGATTAATTTATTTTTTAAAATTCATTTATAGACTACATAATTAATGGAAAATAACAAACAATTTGCTAAATAGATAATTTCTAGCAAAACCTTTACATTATTACATTGTTTGTTTTCCGTAAAACCAATGTAGAACATAAATTTATAATTAACAATAAAAAAATTTTAATATCTATTTTTTATTATCAAGTTCAATTCAATTTAAATTTCATTTAGCTATTTTTATAATTTCCTGGTTAGATATCTTTCATATTTAAAAATTTTCTCTACATAATTTTATTTTTTAGCGAAGAAACAAATTAGACATTACGTAGCAAGAAGTTTCCTTGATCGAATAGGCTTACAAGTGATGATAAGGCTATATTGAAAAGACAAAACTATCCAACAAATTTTTTTTTTGTAAAGCTAGCATGCATCTTATTTAAGCCTAAAATGTATAAATCCATTCTAAAGATTTCCTAACAAGATTTATGACACTCAAAATTTTATGAAAGACTTATTACTAATATAAATTTATGAAATTATGGTGATTTAAGTAATAAAATTTATTGTTTAAACAATTCTTAGAGTCTTATTTATGGAAAGAACTTGAACCCTGGCCACTGTGAAAGTGACAAGGGAGTGTTATCTATGGGTTATAGCAATTCCCTTTTTATTGTAATTTTTGCCATTAATGAAAAGAAAAAAAGTTCATTCCAATTTTTGAATTTAGATCAAATATTTTAAATGCTCAAAACTCAATTTTGTTTGTGAATTTATATCTTAACTTTGGGAAAAGGGGTCAATTAACCCATTCTTTAAATTGTGATTCACTGCGGTCAATAGCAAGATAAAATAAATAATGTGTCCTTTTTAATTAAAGGGCAAGAATTAGGTTAAAAAAGCCTCACCAACCCTCACTTTCTTTCTTACTTTGTTCCCCTTCTCTTTCTTTCCTTTTTCTTTGTTTGCGTTCGCGGTGGAAGTATGAGTAGAAGTGTTGTTTTATCATGCCAAAGAGAGAATCAAAGGGTACCAACAGATCAAAAGTCAACGGAATGCATGTCAAGAAGATTATATTTTAAAGATTGTAATTGTTGAATCAAAAAAATTACGGTAAAAAAAATAGGTTCATATATTAATTTAGAATTTGTGTTTTAATGGATATATATGATTGGATGTTTAATTTTAAATTACTTCTTCGTTCCACTGCGCTGGGCATGTCTAGCAAGAGAGACAAAATGCTCACTCCCGAGTGTTTAAAGAGATTTCAAACCCAAGATTAAAACTTTAAATATCTGATTAACAGAAAATAGATCTCTGTCATTTAATCTCGGCGCTCGACTGTTCTTAGTTTTTAATTATATTCATTGATCAGTTTAAATAATGGATTAATAGATCCTTTCAATCTTGCATCCAACTAATTTTATTCATTTTAGATGTGATGGGACAGTTTTATCTCACAAACCGAGTCTCCAGTGATTAGTTTTCTTATAGTTCGATTTTCATGGGTTAAAAAAAAAAAAACAATTATGTTAAATTATCACAAAAAGGTTGTGAAATGGAAGTTGAGAATCAGTCACAATCATATTTATCAAGAAAGAAACAAAAATGCCAAAACAGTTAATGTGTGTATTTATTTATTAAGATATTTAGATGCTGGAGGAACAATCTAAATCATTATTAACATAAAGCTTTGCTTTGGATTATTCTTCTTGCATTATCATAAATGCAAAGATAAGATGTTAATATAATTTAATTTATAACATAAGATTTGTATTTTATATAACTTGATTTATATTTTAGATGCAATGTCATCTTGTCACTTTCACACTCTACCAGCCTTGCTCAATAATTATAATAATAACAACAATGCCTGCAAGGCAATAGGAAAATGAACAGGTGTAAAGTCCAACTTATCTTTATTCTCTACAATCCAAATCCTCAAATGTCTTTTTTTTTTTTTTCTAAAAAAAAATAATATGATATTTGTTGAATCCATCAAAATGGAAAATTTTCTTCCTTGAATTAATTAGGGTTTGAGGCCACTAACCAATCTCATACAAGGATCTATAACTAAAAAATGAAAATACAGCCTGAATTTACTTATAGAAAACAATGTTTAATGTTTAGAATGCTCTGGAATATCTGCTAATAGAAAATATTTTTTTAATTAAAAAAATATTTTTAAATATTAATAAATTTATTATAATCTTATAAATATATATTCATTAGTACATTTCTAAGGAAGGTCTAATATAAACCTCTTTTTTTTCTTAGAAAAATTATAATACGGTGCGTGCCTGTGCTCTGAAAAATATAACTTTCATTTTTGTATTTTTTAAAATAGATTAATTTTTTTCCTGTGTTTTGTTTTGTTATATTATTATGTTATTTTGTCTATTTTTTGTATATTTTTTGTTAAGTGACTTATGAAATTACAAAAATACTCTTTTTATCTATAAAAACACATGAGCAAACTAGTTATATTTCTCAAACCATAAGAACCGTATTATAATTTTTTTAGGATACAAATTTTAATAGCTCTCATTTGACTTTTGTTTTTCTTGTTGATTTAAAGAAAAAGATAAAAAAAAAAATAAATGGAAGAAGCTACTAGTATAATGTAGCAAAATTTAGGAAAAAATTGGTATATTTAAAAAAAAAAAAACACAAAGACGAATTGATTGTATTTCGCAAAGTCATATGAATTATACTATAATTTTCACATTTTTTGTAATACATATTAAAATTTAGTCGATGAAAGACTATTGCCACAATTTGAACTCTAAATATATTAAGTTATTAAATAGGTATCACTTCATTTACGAGATTGTTTGGTAAAAGAACACTCATAATAAAAGATCGAGTATTTAATTTTTATGGATAAATAAAATTTCTACTTAAGCCCTTCCCCTTAGCACTTTACGCGGCACGAGCAAAACTAAAGATATGTTTAATAAATTAATTGTTTTGGTAGTTGTTAGCTGTTTTAGTAGTGTGCATTTATTTTAGTAGCTTGTAGCTATTTTCTAGTAGCTTTCCATAAAACGTTAAAAACTAGATGTTATACGAATTAACTTTTTATAAAATTTACCTTAATCTTTAAAAGTTACCTCGAAAGTTATATTACTGAACACTATAAAAAAAATACCGTTTTAACTTATTAAAATACTAAAAACTATTTAAAAAGTTAGTCGGAAAGTGGAGAAAAAAAAATCCAAACTGAGGTCTGAAATGTGTGTATTTTCTAATTTCACATGGGACAAATATAATCTATTGAAAAATAGATATAAAGTGCAAGAAGCTTAGATTCACTCAATAATTATCTCAGTGCCATAGGTTTACTATATCCCCACCTTATCCTATTTCCAAAAATCCCATTCACAAACAGATCACAACTCCATTGCCTGAAGAAATGATTACCAGCAGGTGACATAATTGAATCACTGTCTCAAGTCTCAACCATCGTGTGGTGGTATTGCTTTTAGAAAGGATTCTCAATTGCTATCAATGATGATAATAGTAGCAATATTTATTAACTATTTTATTACAAACTTCAAGAAATGAATATGAGCTTTTTGACCCACAAGTAGACCCAATAAGTCTTGCTTTCAGCAAACTCCAGCTATTACACTTTTCCTCTTTAGTCTTTAGAGGGGTCCAACAGACCAAAATCAATAAGCCCATTATTAGTCAAAAGAGTAGTATATAAGAAATAAAGAATAGGCAATCATACTTGTGACCTATTGCACTTACACTCTAATAATCTAATTTAAACTCTTACTAATAACTTATAATCTGCATAAAATTATAGAAAGATAATGAATTTTAAATTCAAAACATAAAAAAATTACCAATAAGATGCGGTTTAACGGGTCTTCTCCCGTCTGTGAAAAGTCAAAAATCACGAGTTTAAATTGACTTGTCCTTAGTGATATAAGAGTGTGTATTATATTTATTCTCAACTCAACTCGTTAAATTTATTAAAAAGAATTTTCTCAAGACCTAAAAAAATATTTATAAAAATGGTAGAGCCTTCAATTCCATATTTCAAACCTTAAATAATATTTACAAAGTGATAAAGCCTTCAAATCTCAAACTTTATAAAAAAAATTCGGTTACAAATCTAATTTACTTTTATAATTGAATCCATCAGTCAAATGTTAAACATTATTTTTTTAATATTTGATAATATAGCGTTTGAATCATTATTTTTTTAATATTTGATAATATAGCGTTTGAATCCATAGCGTTTGATAACATAGTATTTGAAAAATTCGATTACAAATCTAATTTACTTTTGTAATTGAATCCATCAGTCAAATGTTAAACATTATTTTTTTAATATTTGATAATATAGCGTTTGAATCCATAGCGTTTGATAACATAGTATTTGAAAAATTCGATTACAAATCTAATTTACTTTTGTAATTGAATCCATCAGTCAAATGTTAAACATTATTTTGTTAATGTTCGATAATATAGCGTTTGAACTAACTTTTAAAAATTAAAATAATATTTTATAAAAGGTCAATGTATGTAATATTTAATTTTTAATATTTTATAAAAAACTACTCAAACAACTACTAGTTTCTCGATACTGATAAACTAGCTACCAACTGCTAAAACACCTATTTTACTTTTGGTACTCTTAATACAGTGAATATAACTGTTATAAGGGAGAGTGCTGAAAATCCAGAAACACCTCTCACTTCTTTTCTATATATATATAGAGAGAGAGTCACAGGCTGTCACACTATATACACTCCATAATTTCTTCTTCTCAACATGCTATTCTCTCTCCTTTTATTTTATTTGACTAATGGCCGAAAGATAAACGAACATGCAAAGGCAGAGTGTCCCCAAACACCTACAAAAATTAACACCTATAAATCAATAATCTATCCTTATATTACTTTTAAGGCCCACCAAAGTTTCATTTTCTGCTCATTTAAAGCGTCCGTGTCTGCTTCCCTTTATTTTTCCCTCAGCAAGCCTGGCGTGAGTGTGATTCACTTCATATAAAGCCCAACCGAAACACTCGTAAGGGACACTACACTATCCTACCATTTCTCTACAATGGACCTTCTCTCTTACTCTCTCTTCTCTCTGCTTCTCACTTTTCCTTTTGCTTACTCTCGAAGCTTATCACACAGCTCTACGACTATAATTCTTGATGTCAAAGCTTCGATTCAGAAGACCAAAGACATTTTCTCTACTGATGCTAAAACGACTATGCCGTTTAATCAACAAGGGAAAGGTTCATCTTCTTCGTCTTGGGTGACAATGGAGCTACATTCTAGAAATTCGATTCAAAAGACTTCACATACTGACTACAAATCACTTACCTTAGCTCGACTCCAGCGTGACTCCGCCCGAGTCAGATCTCTCACTACTCGTTTAGATCTTGTCATTCAAGGCTTTTCCACTTCAGATCTTAAACCGCTTGGTAGTGATTTGGAGTTCAAAGCTGAGGATTTACAAGGTCCTATTGTGTCTGGGACCAGTCAAGGAAGCGGTGAGTATTTCTCCCGAGTTGGAATCGGAAAACCGCCGAGTTCTGTTTATTTAGTGCTTGACACCGGCAGCGATGTCAATTGGCTTCAATGTGCACCCTGCGCCGATTGCTACCAGCAAGCCGACCCGATTTTCGAGCCGGCTTCGTCGACTTCGTATTCGCCTCTTACTTGCGATTCTAAAGAGTGCAAGTCTCTCGACGTGTCTGAGTGTCGCAACGGTTCTTGTCTTTACGAAGTGTCCTACGGAGACGGTTCGTACACTGTTGGCGATTATGTTACTGAGACTATCACTCTCGGCTCGGCTTCTGTTGAAAATGTAGCCATCGGCTGTGGACATAATAATGAAGGCTTATTTGTTGGAGCCGCCGGTTTGCTAGGACTTGGCGGGGGCTCACTTTCTTTTCCGTCTCAGATTAATGCTACTTCTTTCTCTTATTGTTTAGTGGATCGTGACTCTGACTCGGCTTCGACTCTCGAGTTTAACTCACCTATCCTACCTAGCGCCGTTACTGCTCCATTGCTTCGAAATCACGAGCTGGATACGTTTTATTATATTGGGATGACTGGACTCAGCGTAGGTGGTGAGTTGTTATCGATTCCTGAGTCAGCATTTAAAATCGACGAGTCAGGAAACGGTGGGATAATAGTTGACTCAGGCACAGCCATAACTCGGCTACAAACAGATGTGTACAACTCTCTACGCGACGCATTTGTCAAGGGCACGGAGGGTTTGCCTTCAACGAACAGTGTGGCTTTGTTTGACACGTGTTACGATCTGTCGTCAAAGTATAGCGTTGAGGTCCCAGCGTTGTCGTTTCACTTCCCGGATGGGAAGGTGTTACCGTTACCAGCAAAGAATTACCTGATACCGGTTGATTCAGACGGAACGTTTTGCTTTGCATTTGCCCCAACGGCCTCGGCGTTGTCAATTATTGGGAACGTACAGCAACAAGGGACACGTGTCAGTTTCGATCTGGCTAATTCACGCATTGGATTCGAGCCTAATAAATGCTAACGGTTAATGGAAAAATATTTATTATTATTATTTAATTCTTAGTGACTGTTTTACCCTTAGCAATTAAAATATTTTACTACCATTTATGAGTGGAAGAAGGTGCAACTTTCATAGGTGATGATGTATATATAAACGACAATGAAATGTAACCGTTACGCTGTTTCTGTTGTTGCATTGCACAAGTGGTATTGCAATTGGGGTGAGGAACCCTTCACTCGTGCAGGAACTTTGGGAGAGATTTTTCTTTTTAAGTTTTTATTGGGTGACTAAGTAGCTTTTTTGGTGGCATTGAGGAATAGGTCACGTGCAATTCATGGATTGGCTGAAGAAGTTTTGACCTTAACAATTTAACAAGTATTGTCTTTTTATGTCAGAAAATTCAGGTTTGAAGCTTGATATGCGAGAAAAGATTGGCTAAGTAGCTCTGGACATCTTGACATTATTTAAAATGAAAATTCTTGAAAAGAAATATATATATACTCAGGCATGTTTAGTTGGCTGAATACGAATGTAGGTGAGATTTCAATTCACCATTCTCTTGTTGAGCAGTCATCATGCAGTGAAATGGTAATGAGTAATGTAATAAGTTAAGTAATAGGGATTCTTATCCTCCCTCTAAAATCCCATTACGAGTATGTTTAATATAAAATAAGAAATGAAATATTATTTATATATTGTATCTCAGTTGACAACACAGACCGGATATTTAGAAAAACTCTCAGATTCGACCCTAACTAAACATATCTATAGGAAAGGGTACTGTGATTAAGTATCGAGCCAGATTTAGTCGGTCCCTAGCACTAGGGTTTGGATACCGGTAGTTCATAAAAAAAAAAAAAAAAAAAAAAAAAAAAGTCCCTAGCTTATCTAAAAATAAAAAACACTAGGGTTTTGATACCGGTAAGTTCATAAAAAAAAAAAAAAAAAAAAAAAAAAAAAAAACGAAATGAAAATATTGAATAGAATGGCGCTCCCGTAAAAAAAAAAAAAAAAAAAAAAAAAAAAAAACGAAATGAAATATTGAATAGAATGAGTTGAAATTATACTAATGGAAGAAATATACTTAAATTAGTAAAACGGCCATTATACTCATATCAATCAATTTACTATAAATTAATTTATTCAATCAATTATTTTATTATATAAGACCCTTCTTTTAAGATAATCATATGATTAGTTTTAATATTTGGGAATAATGAGAAAAAAAAAATTTCTCAATCTATAATTTTTATCATAATATATATATATATATTTTAAATGTAACATTCATGCGAGTGAAAATATAATGACAAAAACATTAAAAAAAATTATTACTTTAATTCAAGGGTCCATTTGATATTTTATTTCGTCAAATAAACAATATTCAAAGAAAAGTAAATATGGTACGTTACAAATTTATAATAAACTAAAGGTATTTATGGTATTTTAACTATCCGCAATAAAAATTCAGAGGGGAGGTCTAAAAATCCCTATTGCATGCTTTATTCTAAAACTCATCAACTGTTATATAACTTGTTTTCTATTGAACAGAGGAACAAGGAATTGTGATTACATAATAATTTAAATAACTAAATTTTTGTTTTAAATCTGAAATTGTTATTATTGAAAAAAATTTATTTAAATTTCACTTTTAATCCAAGCCTGAAGACTCGTGTTTAAGCCAAAAGTATATTCTTTTCCCTTACTCAACAAACTTATTGGGTCATTGATTTCTTATGGACTCGATACATTTGTGCTGTCGCGTGCACAATGCTGGGGTTTGTTAATTGGGCTAAGCTAGGCCAGGCCTATTTGTAGGTAGTTCATGTGGTCCATTACCCTTTTCACCCAAACCCAATCTTCAATGCCACTCGTCTTTTGACTTTTGCCCACCAGAACCAGTCTATACTTTGGCCCACCAGAATAGCACGATAATAAATGAATATACAGTCTAACAATACGTATATATGCAAATCTCTATTTTTTTTAAATATAAAATAAAAAAATCAATTATTTAATTTTATTCCTAATAAAATAAACGGTTCAAAAACTAAAAAGCAAGCTATTCAAATTGCGATAAACATTAGATATAATTAAAATTTGCTAATAGCCGAATCCGTTGAATGTTTTAAAATTGTAAGCTTAATTACTCAAAAGACTGTCAGCTTTTAGCGTATTATTAAAAAATATAAAATTACAGCAATCCAAAATTTCACCTTTTCTTTTATTATTATGAGAGTTTGTAGGAAAAGGGCAAAAAAAGGAGAGATTTGTATCTGCGAGTTTTTATTATAAGTATATGGTTAAAATCCTTAAATTAAGAAGTACGATAGGTCCTTATATATTTTGGTTTCACAGAAATTTTTATGAATTTATGTATTTGGCAAAGAAAAATGTTAAAAAACTCAAAGACATGAAGACATCTGGGTTTATTGTTTGTTATTATTGAGTTATATTCAGTTCAGTAACAGCTAGTTAGACTTCCAAATCTATTGTAGCTAACTACCGATGGAACTAACATGAAAATCAAACAGATTATTACGATTTGGTTCGATCAAGTGTTTAAGAGAGATTTGATTAATTATTTTATTTGGTTCGAATCGAATTTATTATTTTGGTTTGAATCGATTGGGTTTAAAATCGAATTGAAATGGCAAAAATCACCATAATAGATCGAACTAATTGGTTCAGTTTGTGTCGGTTTGATTCAGATGCCAATTCAGTTTGTTGTTAAAAAATTCAATTTGTATTTGATGACCTCAGTTCGGATCGGTTTGAACTGACCGTTTGCTCAGCCTTAGTTTTTCGTGTCAGAAAATGGAATTCAGGATATCACAAGATTTTTTTATCAAAATTTATGGATTAAAATATGTATTCAACCCCTTATCTATAATATATATAAATGTAGGAATATGGAGGAGAATAATGCTATTTCCGATAGCGTCTTTGATGAAATTTAAGATATCTTAAAATTACCTTAGTTATAGCCATTTGGAAAATTACATTTTATTAGTTGATTGAATATATTTATAAAAATTATTTTTAAGCTAATCATGTTTGGTCTGATTGTTTTCTCACTTATATGAGGAGTGAGAGGTCTCGAGTTCAAGGTTTCTTGACCATAAGTGTTTTCACCAATTTGGTGAGTGAATGATTATTCTTTGTTATTTAGCCACAGTGTTATTTTGGCTTATCAGGACTCCTAACGAATAAAAAAAATATTGTTATATATATATATATATATATATACAGAATAAAAAAAATATTGTTTATATTGATATATATTATATATTATTAAGCTTTTCAAAATTTTTATTTTTTATTTTTACTAAACATTATTTTTTAATTTAAATATATACGATTATGAAGACATTTTAAAATTTTTATATTTTAATTTATTAAATCATTAATTTCTGTTTAGGTATAGCATAAAAATAAAAATATATTATTTTTATTAATATTATTAATATTATTTTTTCTTTATATTTGTATACTTTGATTGGATATATTTTTTCAAAAATAAATTTTCAAATAGAATATATATAATATTTTATTTAGGAGAGAGATAAAAAAAGAAGAAAAAAGTTTGTTATTTTATTAATATTTTTTTTCTTTATGTTCATAAGATTTGATTGGATATATTTTTTAAAAAATAAAATTTCAAATAAAATTTATATAATTAAATATGAGATGGTAAACACTTGAAAATTTTAATTTAAAAAAATATATATAATATTTTATTGATATATTTATATATCTATATCAGTGAAACGTTTTTTTATTACATGAATTTTGAAAGAGTTTTATTCTTAATAATATTTTTTTTTTCGTTACTGATTATTATGCAACTATTGTTATTTTTAGTAAAAGATTTATATTTCCTTTGCAATAAATAGATGGCTTATTAATGATTAAGCATTTTTTAATTTTCTTGATACTTTTTTCTCTTATATTCTAAATATGTTTGATTTAAAAGAAAATAATGTTTAGAAAACTAGAAAAAACTAGAACTATATATTTCTGTTTAGGTCACTTTTGGACTTCAAGAAGTTGTGGGTATGTAGTAATATTGCCACTGTAGCTAAAGTGATTTACATTATCAATTTAAATTATCTTCTTATTTAATTTCTTTTACCTAGCATAGAAAATAATTTATTATTATTTTTCATTATAGTTGTATATAGATATTGATTTGGATTAAAAACAAAGGATTAAAGATTAAGTGATGGCTTGATTTTCTTTTTGGGCACCTATTTTGATTTTCTTTTTGGGCCCTATTAGGATATTTAAAAAATTTGCGTTATAGTTGTATATAGATATTGATTTGGATTAAAAACAAAGGATTAAAGATTAAGTGATGGCTTGATTTTCTTTTTGGGCACCTATTAGGATTTTAAAAATTTGCGTTTTTAAATTAGGGATTAAATGATTATGTCTAGGGATTGGGTTGAACTTTATTCTGATATCACTTTATTATATAAACATAGAACTAGTGCATAAGCAGTAGTATCGCAAGTAGGTTGTACACAAAGTGTAATACAAATTAATCCCTTATTTTAATCTAAATAAAACTTATACTTTAATATTGGTCAAATGCATATTTTGAATCTTGTACTTTTTCAAAAAAACATTGTGGCCCCTTATACTTTGCGGGATATCTATTAGGTATCTCTATTTACTTTTTTTGCATCTAATAAGTACCTCGCTGGGGTAAACTAAGCACGTGCAATGCAAACAGAATGACTTGGAAAAAAAGCTAATGACATGTCATAAGTGTCTAGTGCAGTACAGGCCACATCGACATCTTCTGTTCCCTCTTCTACTCTTCCCTCTTACTATCTCACAACTCGCGATAGTTTCGCCTTCCTTAATCCTATCATAAATCAGGATTTATTTTCATATATGTTACTGTCTGTGGACTCTGTTTATGTACATCCTTTTTTTTCTTTCTGCCTTTCAAATTCAATTTTATTTCTTTTTGTCTGTTGGAGTTATTTTGTTCCCTTCATATCATGGACTCTGTTTTACAAGCAAATTCAATTTTGTTTCTTTTTGTTGGTTAGAGTTATCTTCTTTCCTTTATACGGTGGACTCTATTTTTCAAAATTCATTTTTAGCATTGTGTCAATAAGAATTATTTTTATGAAAGGCTAAATGCATTTAGAGGCCATCTTTAAAAATGACTGAGAAAGAATTCAATGTCCATATCAGAAATTCTCCGTTATAGATTTGACACACATACAAGGGCCTCTCTTTGAGCTTAGCCTTCATGAAATTATAAACTAATCTAAGCACACAATATATGTGGCTATATCAAGCATCCTTATTATAGTTGAGTGGCTACTTAAATTTGCTTTTCAATGTAGTGCATTTGTAGACTTAGTAATTACTATCCCAACTTTCTTTCAAGTTTTAGGTATATAGTAATATGATTTTCTCCTTTGGATGGATTTTTTCATGGATATAGATCTTGAGCTCCCTTCTTGTGAGCAAGAAAAACTAGATACTAGATCAAATATAATTATAAATATTGATGTCATGGATAGTGCAGATGGATTGCATGTTTTCACTCTCTTCACACTTGTTTGGATATTAACGCACCACTTTTTGCGTGACGAGGTATTTATTAAATACAAAAAAGGTGAATAAAAGAACCTAATAGGTCTCTAAGGGGCCATGAGATTTTTTTTGATAACGTACATGGTCCAAATTATATTTTTGGCCCTTTAATATTATATAGATGAAATGAGTATATATTTTTTATAAATTAAATTAAATAAATCTTAACTTATGCACTTGTATATAATTTTATAAACTATCCACCATTGAATTGTAAAACTGCATAATTTATCATCCTAATTAAATATACTAAATTACCTATTAGAAGCTAAGTACTAAATAGCTGGCCCAAACATTAAATCTTTATCAAAAAAATAAAAAAAATATATGATATGAAAAAAGAAAAATGAAGCCATTATCAACCATCTCATGACTCAAGGCAAGGAAATACTGTGCAGATTGCATAAACTCCATTGATTTTAGATTTTCAGTGACAGCTCAGCTAAGAAAAATGAAATAATTCTGAATGCTTTACATGTGGTTCCATGAAATTAAATATTGTAATGTGACCATCTCTTTTGAACAATTGACCTTTTTGCTTGGTGGGGTTGATACAGACAATCATTGTGGATAAGGATAAAATTTTATTAACAAAATGTTAATAACTACAACCAAATCTATTATGGGGTTTTCATTAGCCGGCTTTATTTGAAAATAAAATGTTTTTTTTTATCAAAAATTTGTAAATTCATATGGTCATCGTGTTACAAGTTGGACCTTGTTGGATTTAATCTGTTTAATACACAATAAATTTCATTTTGGGATTCTTATTATCTTTCTCTTTATAATTTATTCTATTTAAATAAAAAAAAAATCTGTTAAGCTGAAATATATTTTAATACTTGAACCGCATGTTATGATAATAAATAATTGCCTGTCCTACTTAGAAAAAAACGTATATCATTTTAAAGTTTTCTTTTACTTATTAAACATTATTAATTTATAAAATTATACAACTATTCAATATTTCAACTCAAGCCATCCTATTAACACTTTTAATTCATAAAATCAGCTCAATTAAATATTTTGTAAAATTATTAAAAATATAAAAATTATAGTTTTAAAAAATTATCCTAACTAGTAACCACATTATGATATTATTAAAATAAAAATAAAATATACATTTATTAAAATTACACTAACTTTAAAGATATAATAAATTTCGAGTAAATTTTGAAATGCAATATTTTTTTTTTTTGAAAAAATGGAAGGATGATTCCATGTATTTGGCAAATGGCTCTTTCTTATAGAATTCAAACATAATTACATCCAGTATACTTTGAATTCAAACATAATTACATCCAGTATACTTTTGAAAACATACATTAAAACAAAATCATTACGACGTTCCAAAAGCCAAATTTTATGCTAAAAAAAAAACACGAAAAACGAAAAGAAAACAAAAAAAAAAGAAATATTGCGCGTGTCAATGCAATAGTACGCCATTCTCTTTCTTTCCTTTCCCTTTGACAGCCCAAAGAAGCAACCGTATTAGCGAATCAACACGCACAACCGTATTAGTCTCTGGCTCTAGCCGTTGAGTTTCAGTTTCCCTTTCCCCTCCATTTCTCACAACGTTCCTCATTATTCTATTAACAACGTCCATTGACCATTTCCTTTTTGGTCGCTCTGTTCACGTTTCCGCACGCTTTCTCTCTGTTTACTTTGACAAATCTCCCTCCTCCTTCTTCTTCTGCTTTTCTTCATTTCTCACTCAATTTACTCTAAACAACAATGCTTTGATCAATCAATACGCCATTTTTTTTTTTTTTTTTTTTTTTTTTTTTTCTGTTCTGCTAGTTAATTTTGATAGCTTATAAAGTGTAAACACTTCATAATTACTGTTTTCGTTTTCTTTTTCCCTTCTTTCTGCCTATGTATGCTGAAATTAACAGTTAAATATTCTGTCGAGTTCTATGATTAAACAAGGCTATTAAACTTCTCTTTTAATCGAATTTATGATTTTTTTTGTTCATTGTAGTCTAATGTAAATACGTTTCATGATCTTCATTAATGCTAAATTGTCAGTATTGGAGACTATATGTTTTTGACAGTATTTTAAATTGTCAAATTTCCTGAATTAGTTTTATTTATCTGATTTTGTTCTTCCTTGTTGGTCTTAGAATGTAAGGAGGAGTCAAAGAAGTGGAAGCGGTGGTCAAATCCTGGTTCCTGACTTACCACGGCTATGGCATGATGTTTTCTGGTTAGGAATCTTCTTATTTCATTTGATCGGATTAGGACTTGCTCTTGCAGTTCTTGGACTTAATAGGTTTAAGAAATCAGATAGGTTTAATATTGATAGATTCACAACTGGCTCCAAGGGGAATAACCAGGGATTGACTGAGGATTATTGGCCAATGTATGCTCTTGCTGGTGGAGTTGGAACTGTACTTGGGTGGACTTGGTTGTTGTTGCTTGGTTCTCGAGCAAATCAGATGATGAAGATAGCGGTTCATATTTTGACTACTTATCTTGCTGTGATCAGTGTCCTGTGTTTCTGGTGTGAGCAGTTTTTCTGGGGGGTTGCATTTGCAATTGGTGCTGCGTTGCAGTTTTTGTATGTCATATGTGTCATAGACAGGTACGAACTTTGCAACACTGTGGTTTTGAAATATAACTGGTTTGGCATCACTATGGATGTTGTCGTCTAACATGCAACTCATATATGCACAAGGTCACAGAATGTTTAGGTGTTCCTTTGAGCTCTTTCATGCTTTTTCCTCATTAATGATTGGGGGCAAGTGTTGTTAGATTAGCTTCTTTATTACATGAGTTTTACATGGGACTGTATACTCATTCTTCAGTCCAACATTATATTGGTTCTAAAGGAAAAGGGGGAATAAAAAAGAGCAAAGAATTGACATATATAGAAGTCTTCTCAAACCAAAAGTTCTTGACTTCTTTTGTATTGTCTATGCTAAATATTAAGACTTAAGAAGGTATTGATCTTAATATAAAATTAATATTTTGAATAGTTTTTATACTTCTGATATTTTTTGTCTGTTTTTATTTTATCTTCAAAAAATGTTTATAAGGATCTGAAGAGTTAACGTTGATGTCAAAAATAATTCATTGGAATCTATTTAGCATAATTACTTTTATAAGTCGTATCGATTATTAACATGATGCTCTTGGTCTTGCTATCCAAAATTTGAAGTTGGGGCAACTAATTAATGGGCAAAATGCCTCCCTGTATGTTTCAAAATAATTCCATAAATATCATGAGTCCAATTGTGTTACATGTCTATGGCATCAGTTTTACTGCTCTAGTATTTTTTGATTTGCAATCAAATTTCTAAACATAAATGTTGAAAGGAAATTGTAGCATCTGATGTGACCCCCTGTTTTCAAATAAACTAGGCTTGAAGGTTATAATTATAATTGAACTCTATCCTCTTAATGGACAAGCTAATATATTTTTTTCCTCTTAATGGAGTTTGTGCAATATGCTAATCTGCAAGCCTAACGTCAATTTTATACTTAAATCTGATAGAGAAGGTGACATTTCATAACATAATGTAGTTTCAAAAATTATTTTTTATGCATCAGCAACAAACCAATGGCAGTTGCTGTTCTTAAATGTTTGGGAGTGAAGTGTTTTTTTTTTTAATAACATAATTGGAATGAATTTTATACTTTCTTGTCCAGATTGTTTGTTCAACAGTTTACCTATTGTATCTAAATCTCTCTCTCTCTCTCTCTCTCTCTCTCTCTATGCCTCTTGCTTGCCACTCTTTCACTCATTCTCATACATGCAACTGTTGTAGATTGACGAATTGGAAATTTGGATTAGTAAGATTATGTCTGACAGTTGCTGTTCTTCCATAGACTTCCATTTACCATGTTGGTGCTGCAAAAAGCTGTGAAGATGGTATGGAGTCTTCCTGAAGTTACAAGAGTTGCATATGCATTCATGCTAGTTATGCTTTTATGGATGGGGATATGGTCCTTTGGAGTAGCTGGTGTTGTGGCTTCAAGCATGGAGGATGGTGGACGCTGGTGGCTTCTTGTGGTGAGCTGGCAAGTTTTGCTCTTTATTCCATTTCTATCTATGGGATGAGAACACCGAGAAAGTTCTATCTTAGTCTAAATTGTAGAACACTTCTAATGCTGTTAATTGCATACCCCAGATTCTCTCAGTAAGCTTGTTTTGGACGGGCGCAGTCCTCTGTAACACTGTGCATGTTATAGTGTCTGGGATGGTGTTCCTCGTTCTTATTCATGGTGGTCGAGAAGCAACATCAATGCCTCCTAACCCAGTGATGAAGTCAATAAGGTATGCTGTTACAACATCTTTTGGCAGCATTTGCTACGGATCACTCTTCACAGCTGCAATTAGGACATTGCGGTGGGAGGTAGGCTTATTCAAAATTTTCTTCTCTGAACCAGTTCACTACCTTCTTTTTGTATTTTTTTTCTCTGTTTTCTCCATCTAGTTTAACTTGTGAGTATATTTTAGATCAGGGGATTGAGGTCAAAGATAGGCAAGAACGAGTGCTTGCTTTGCTGTGTTGATTTTATGTTTCATCTCGTGGAGACTCTTGTCCGGTTCTTTAACAAGTATGCCTATGTTCTGGTAATTTCTGTCAACATTCCTTTTCTTCTAAATCTAATGCTTGCATCTTAGAGGTTCTTAAAATGTCATGGTGGTTTTTGACTTGAGAAATGCCCTATTACTCTCCAGGGATAGATTTCGAACAAAAATTGTACTGATAGTCACCCCCAACTTTTCATTTAGTTTTATTAAAGTCCCATAACTACAATTCATTGTTTTTAGTTACTAAACTTGATTTTTGTTTCAAAAGGAGGTCACCCATCAGAATATGGTAATCGGAATGGTAACACAAACTAAAAATCACATACACCATTTGAGGATTTCCCCTTTCCTCTTCAGGGATGGATTTCGAGTAAATTATATTGACGATCATCCAACTTTTCACATTGTTTCACTAAAATCATATATCTTCAATTGTTGTTTTTAATTACTGAACTTTGTTTTTTGCTTCAAAAGAATATCATCCATCGAAATCCTGGTAATCGAAATAGTAACATGCACTAAAAATCACATATTTCACAAAAAAAAGAAAAAAAAACCTTGATTGCAGAAGAATATAGGAGAGAGGAAAAGGAAGGTTATAAAATACAAATAGTATAGTGGAAAATTCTTTTTCTTTTTCTGTTTTTAACTTTTTTCATTTAGGTGACATCATTTGCTAACTAGATTAATAAGGAGGTCCCAAATTAGTTTATTATGATTTTGTAAATGAAATGTTCTATTTTTTGTACTATGCTGGTCCTTCTTGTCATTGGATTTTTGTGGATGACCCCTGTATTGAAACAAAAATCAGAGTTTAGTGACTAGGGAATAACAAATTGAAGTGATATGACCTTAATGAAAAGTTTGGTGACCGTTAAGGTAATATACCTGATAGATATATTTTGTCCCAATGACATTTTTGACATTATGTCTTTGACAATTATAATCTAGGACTGTGTTTAATTTAATTTTGACTAGTTAGGTTTATGTTTTGGTACCAGGGCATTGCCTTATCAGCTTATTGACCTCAATTAAGGGAAAGAATTTTTATATGGAAATACTGAGAACAGGAAGAAAATTATTTGTAGAAACATTGAGAACATAAATGGATTTTGGAGCAGAATATTAAGCAACTTTGTAACAGGTTTAATGGTATTGGTCTAGCGAGTGGAATGGGGTTTTCAAAGTCTTTGAATGTGTGGACTAAGAAATTGAAATATAGAAATCTGATGTCTGATGTGCAATTTATTCTTGGTTAGCTATGATGAAAAGAAGATGAATTTTATGGCACAAAAAGGTTTATTCAGTTGATATGGAAGGCCAGAGGACAAACCAAATTTGTTAATGTAAAAAATGTGATCCCAAACAGCTTCATGGGATATAATTAAAACGTTTGAGTAGCACTACCGATGGCTGCCTTAATTTCAGAATTGGTAATATGCTTTGTGGGAATGCATTATGTTTGGATGTAGATGAATATGAAACTGAGAAAACTTGGTTAGTTGTCAAGATTCATCATGAAATTGTGAATTTTGCTTAATGCGATTTCAATATGATGTAACAAAACATTCAGAAGACTTACCTCCTACTTTTCTGAGGTTCTGATGCATTAATTTCATGATATATTTCTCCATTTTACATTTGGACCCGTAAGCTTTTGGGAGCATTTGATGAGCTGCAGATACATTCTAATTTTTTTCCTCCACCATTTCCTTGGAGGAGGGTGATTTACTAATTAAAAGTCTACATCCTTTTACCTTGTTCTTGAGATCTGCTGTCCATTGGAAGCTTCTTGTCTCAACAGTCATATATAATTATCTGAATCTCAACTATTTTATCAAGATTTTCATAAAGTTACCCTCTTAAGATGAAATATTCAAGGTGGAGTATATTTCCCCAGCTAGTATTGTAGGAGTTCAGTATTTTGGTCTTCTGAGACATAGTTGAATTGCCATAACTGACTGCAGATTATTAACAATACTATGGTTTGCTCTTTCCTTTCAGATAGCTGTTTACGGCAAAAGTTTTAACCATTCAGCAAGGGATGCTTGGGAATTATTCCAATCAACTGGAGTTGAAGCACTTGTGGCTTATGATTGTTCAGGTGCTGTTCTGTTGATGGGAACACTTTTATGTGGGCTAATCACAGGAACTTGTTCAGGTGTTTGGGCCCATCTCAAATGGAATGATAGAGTAACTATGGTAGGACCCACTGCAATGTTGATGGGAATGGTGTTGGTAAGTTTTTGCTCTTTCTCATAATGTTCATCTTTTCACTAATCACTCATAGAATTAGATAACCAGAAATCAAATGAATAGATATTAGTCTGAATCACAACCCAACCGCTGCTGCCAAAACCATATCTTGTGTGTATGGTTGTGAATGACATTCTAACCGTAAAGCATATATTTACCCCAGGTTGGACTAGCCATGGTTGTGGTTGAGAGTGCTGTTACATCTATATATATATGCTATGCAGAAGACCCTTTGTTGATTCACAGATGGGATGCTGAATTCTTCAACCAATTATCGGAAATGCTGCACCAGCGTCTACAACATAGAAGTGCTCGAGCAAGGGAAGTATTGACCCACAATCGTTTTGATATTAACACTCAAGAAACTATCCCTGTCTGAAAAAACACTCATCTTGATTTACAAAAACACATGACTGCAATTTACTGAACCATAATTTATTAATCCAAGTACATTAAATGCTGTGTTTATTTTGGATACAATGTTGGGACTCTCTTATACATAAATGAAAAAAAGTTAGATCACAGAAGGAGGATTGCAATAGTGTTGTTGGTTGAGCTGTCTTGATTACCAAACTTTAGGATCCATATGATATTCGTGTTATTTTTTGGTTTTCTGGATGTTGTCCAGTAGTTCTTTCTCGGTGACTATTGTCTAATTTCGCTAGACGGCGAACCTATAGGCTATTGCAAGCTTTCAGGTGCTGTTATATGGTAGTGGATGTTTCTGCAGTTGATGACGGATTACCTCAGTGTTGTAAATTTTATTTTTATTTAAAAAGTCATATTTAAGTATTTTTAAAAGGAATATCACAGTTATCAAGATTTGAAATTTCCATTAAGAAGACTCATGTTGGAATTTTAATTTCATGATTAACTGTCTCTAAATGATTGCTTGGATGGATGGAATAAGAATTGAATGAAATGTATACAGATTTCAAATAGAAACTATGAATTATTAAATCAATAGAATTTCATGTTTCTATTGTTTGGTTGAGAAACATGATTCATGGTTTTGAAAGATATCATTACGTAAAATTCTAGAATTGCGGTAGAATGTTAATGGAGAATTATGTATCTCATTAATATATATTAAAAACAATTATTTGTTATACAATAATCAATTAAACTTAAACAATAAATTTCACCATTGTATGAAATTCTTGAAGTTCATTGATTAACCTCTAATTAAAGCCATGTTCGGTAAAATTATTTTTTATATCTTTTATAAAATATTATTTTAATCTCGTTCAAATGTTATGTTAATAAATACTATGAAAAATAACGTCTAGCGTTTTAATTAAAAACTGCTTAATAATATTAATCGTTGAATAAAAACAGAGACAAGCCATAAGAGGGGCCGATTCATTAAAATTCAGGACTGAAATATGGAATTTTGAGATTTTGGGCATCATCTTTGTAAGTAGCTATATTTTTTATACTGTTCGGTAAGGTAAATGCTATAATTAGTAGCTTTTAATTAAATCCTACCAAAAAAACAACTAATTTTATTAAACAGACTTTTTGATTTCAATTCTAGTCTCGGTTCAGGATCAAGTTTGGTTTGATCCTTTATAAAGAAAATGAAAAACATTGGGCTCAATTGCTTTTCTTTCTGTCTTTTTTTTTTTTTTTTTTCCGCATGCATGAATAAGTAATTTTAGGATTGAATTCTGGTGCAAAAAAAATAATTGGACAAGATCTTTTTTTTTTTTTTTTTTTCCGCATGAATAAGTAATTTTAGGATGAATTCTGGTGGCAAAAAAATTGGACAAGGGATCGGTTTAGTTCGGGACCGATATTGCTGAACTGATTCGTTTTGAGGTTTTTCATCAGTTTATTAAAAGTTCTGATTCAAACCGGACCTATACTTACCCACTGTGCTCAGCCAATAAAGGAAGGAAATAATGAAATTTAAAAATAAAAGAAATGGTTTACTGTCTCTCCTTTCCTTTTCAAATTCTTTTCTGTATATATCACAAGAATGGAAACAAGGCAGAGACGGTGAAGAAATAAAAATCCTTTTTTTTTTAAAAAAAAAAAAAGAAAACCAAGAAACAAACGAAACCCAAAACCCACATAGCATAAACCCCAGACAGGGACCAGATAGAAAGTGACACGTCATCAACTGTATGGTACGGTTGCCGTATAAGATGTGTCAAACAAATAATTTATAATGAATAAATAAGTATAGACCTGGCTCTACACGCTGGCCAAAATCCAAATAGAAAAGCAAATAAATTTCCTTTGGCAGCTTAGCTTCTCACAAAATCCCAAGTTGTTCCTTTCAAGCAATGCCTTATTTGTTATCAACTTTTCATTTAGGCCCCTAAAGTGGAAATTTTAATAAACAATTATTTAAAGACTTACTCTTTTCACTTATGCAAGTGTAAAACGACAACTAGGTAGTTAAAATTGAAGATACATCTTTTTTTATTTCACCAACAATTTACAGCTGAACTAGCTAAAATAAATAGTATTTCTAAATAAATTTCATTATAAATTTGAGAGTTTAAAATTAAATACTGCTATTTTTTTATGCATTAGGAAGTTCAATGAAAAAAAAATATTGTGGGCTATAAAACAGAGTAATTATTTTATTTTTTTATTAAATTGGTGAAAATTTTTACAAATCAAAATATCTTAAATTTAAAATCTCTCATTCCTTAAATAAGTATAAAATAACGCACTTAGTTGGCAAATTTAAAATCAAAACCGATGTTATTGAAAAGAAATTACTTTAATGTCATTCTTAATACCTAAATCTAAACATACGTATTAAAGTAAAAGAAAAATACGTTTCCATTTTTCCAAATAAAGTTATCTCTTTTGATTTTTCAAAGTTAATATTTAAAAGATAAGACTATTGTATTCAAAATAATATATTTATATTTTTTATTCCAATTTTTTTTTATGAAAAATAAATTAATGATCACTTAATTAATTATTGATTTTATATAAGAAAATTATATATTGAAAACTTTCAAATTGATTCCTTCGATTAATTATTTTTTCAGCTCAAAATTTCAATTATTTTTTTAATTTTCAGTGCTCATTTATAAAAAGCAGGCAGATATGCTTTCTTTTTTCCAACTCATAACTAATTTGGTAAATGGATTCAAGAATATAGATTAGGATATTAACAAATTAAATAGTATAAATATGTCTTTTTCCATGAGAATACTAATTTACAAGTGTGTATTAATTTTGTCTACGGTATCAAAACCAAATTCGCACTCTTTCCGAAATATCCTATATTCTTTCATTGAGACTACATAGATTTTTGTTTTTAAATAAAGCTTTGGGTCTCATGAACACGAGAGTTTATATTATTTTTTGGATTGCATTGTTTTTGTTTAATATGCCTCGTGAAATTATTAAATAATGGCAATGTTCGGTAATACCTTGTGAGTTAAATCTTAATATTTTTTATTAAATTAAAACTATGTTTCTACTAATTTTAGTATTCGGTAATATATTTTTTATAATGTTCTTTTTGTTCCATTTTCATTTTAATTGCAAGAAAGGAGCACTTCCATTTAAGTATTCATTTAGAATTTTGAGAGTATATCAATTATTTCTTTTCAATTTTACCCATATTTATTAGGTGTTTTATAACAAAGTTAACTGGAAGTTTTTAATTTTAAAAAAGGGCAATTAAACAAACATTCTACCATGTATGTTTTAGAAAATTAATTTATTCTAATTATTTTCTTAATTTTTGTGAAAAACAAACATTCTAGTTATCAATTTTTAAAACTTAACGGAACTTTTTATGAAACGTTAAATACTCTTATGTTTAGTTTTTAACTTTCCGCATTTAGTGTTTAATTGAATTTTTTTGATAATCATACGAATTGTTTTTTTTCTCTAAATTTAGCTTGTTAAATAATTAATATCATTTTAAATTAAATAATAATTAAATAACTATTTTTATCAAACACTTTTAATTTAAATTGTTATATAAAAAATAACCATAAATTAAAAATTGATAACTAATAGAATAATTAATAATAACTAATATTATTACTCGATATATTATTTTACTTTGTTTCGAAGCGTGAAAATATATATAAATAAAAAACAAAACAATATGATTTTATGTGGAATTCCATTAATTAAAACAAAAGGAAAAAACAAAATGCACGAAACTTTTCATTTATTTATTGAATAAAAGTAATAGATTTCTTTTGTTGGATTCCTCTAATCTGTTTTTTCTTAAAGATCTCATTTCATCATATCTCATCACCATCACATCATGTAGCTAAGGCACAGGACGCAGTTTCCCAAGCTTTATATATAGTTTTATATTAATGATTCTACGTGCATAGTACACAATTCTAGAGAGAGAAAGGCAACAATTGTAGAGAGAGCAAGGCATCAAGAAAGACTTTTGGGTTAGCTTTAGAACAGAGACTATATATCCATTCCATAGGCATAGAGATTAGAGAATGCACCTCTATTATCTATCGCTGCTGTGTATGATGTGATAGTGTGAAAGAAACAAACAAAGAATCATTTCATCAAACAGCTCTGAGGTATACCCTATTCAGAAACAAGGAGAGAGAGAGGCCCTAATGGCTAATCCAAATACTATACATGTCTTGGGGACCGCACTTTAAATACTCCCACACGCCTCTCCATTGTTAACGTAAGCCGATCTACCCTAAAATTATATATACCATCTAAATACTCCTCGTACCGGCCTCCGTTAACGTTAAGCGATCTACCCTAAAATATAGTTATATATAAGTATATATATATATGAAGAGTTAAAGTCCTATTCTAATCCCTATTTTCACGTATTTAATTTGCCATCTAAGGGTACTAATTGGGAATTAAATCTAATCACCTTCGTGTCGCATATCACAGTTCAAAAGGAAAAAGCTTGCTTCTAGTGAGAAAAGTTTTATATATATATATGTTTTTTTAAATTCGATGAGTTAAAGCCTAATTCTAATCTATTTACGAGTATTTAATTGATCTAAGGTGTTTTTAGCTTATTGGATTAAATCTAATCACCTCGTGCTGCATCAAGTTCAAAAGGAAAAGCGCTTCTAGTGAGAAAAGTTTAATTTTATTTCGTTGTATCACATTCTTAAAGAAAAGTGCTTTCAAAGAAAATTTCTACAATTATTGAAATCAAACGCTATGACTTCTTATTTAAGGGTTTAAAAAATTTGATACTCTTATTTAAGGAGTTAAAAAATTTTTCACACTCACTGGTCATAGTATCAAATTTTTTACGTAAATATACAGGTAAATTTATGGATATAGCTCATTACAAATCGTTATAAAGAAGAAATTATTGAAGTTAAGACATGATTAAGAAGAGAGAGGATAAGACATAGAGAGTGCAAGAAACGCACTTAGACAGGAAATTGAAGACAAATATAGAAATGTGTGGGGATATTGGGAAACTAAAATCCCAAGTCAGAACGCAATAATAAAAAGTCTGATAGCCATTTTGTTCTTTATAACTATGAAAATGAAATTAAAAGCTAGCCGTACTGATACGCTATCCTCTTCATTAAGATCACAACAAGATTTTCTCTCTCTAATCTCTATATTTTCTCCTCTCCTTCCTTTTTCTTTTCTTCTCGAACGTAGCAGCTACCATTTTAGTCCCCTCTCCTTATACCTCTGCTTGCTTGCAGGGAGAAACTTAAAGAAAGAAAGAAAGAAAGAAAGAAAGAAGAAACTTTGAACATACAGATGCAAAGCTTCAAAGCAGCAGCAGCAGCCGCTTCTCACACCATTTCTAACCCTGAAATGTACTGCCACTCATCCTTCTTTCTCCGGTAATCTCTATTTCTCTATTCTTTGGTTTTTGAGCTTTTTTTATTTTATTTTATTTTTTAAATCTTTGTAGTTGGTAATGGTGGCTGTTACTGGTTATAAAGTGTGTATGCAAAGGAAATTTTCTTAATTCATTTTCTTGCTCTATCTTTCTTGCTTTCTTTAAAACAGAGCAGAAGATAATAGCCGTAACCAGACGCGTTTTGCGGATCTTGGAGAGCTTGATCAATCCGCTCCTGCTTTTACTCATGACGATGCTGTTGATTTAAGCCGAAGTATCTTTCTTTCTTGCTCTCTCTCTACATATATATAAATATAAAATAATTTTTTAAAATGAAGTATAAGCATTTTATTTCTTTTTAAGCGATTGGAAAGTTAAGTTTCTCTAACTACTGATGGGTTCTGTAGGCTCCATGTTTAGTTTGAAATCGGGCAATGTCGCTGTTTTGTCAAACAACTTGCACTACGATTCTGCTCTTAATACGGTACCTGTTTATCCATTTTTCTTTTTCTTTCTTTCTTTAAAACAAAACCTCTGTTTTTTACACGTATAAGACTCTGCTTTATGGGTATCGTTTACTTGTTTGTTTAGAGTATTGGGTCTGCAGAGATAGCGACGACAGGAACAGGGTGTTTGGACACAGGGCAATACATGTACCAAAAAGGGACAACGATCGGCTCCTCATTGGGAAACGGACATAGTATTGAGAACTGGGGGGATTCAGCTGTGGCAGATAATAGCCAACAGACTGACACTTCTACAGATGTTGATACTGATGACAGAAACCAGGTTGCTCTATTTATTTTTTTGGTTTCTCTTTCTTTCTCCGCGATATGCTCTGTTTTTTATTATTTTTTTACATATTCTATGCTATGCTCTGTTATAAGTTGTCTGTTTAATGGGAATCTTTTAAGAAAAAAATTTTTTTTTGGTCTAATGGCGGGTCGCCTTTGGAATTGAGAACTCACTGTAATTTTTAATTTGCATTTTATTAGCATCATATCTTGTCTTGTTTTAAAAGAATAATCTGCTGGATAATGGCTGCTCTGACTTTAACTGAAATTATAACTGTTCCATTTAGCTAATTCCAAAAGTTCGGTTTCTCACTAATACCAAAAGTTCTGAAGCTATTTGGATAAAAAATTGTGATTGAGGCTTCTTTGATTGATGATGTAGTTCCATGGATTGCAGCATGGTACAATCGTGGGAGTGGATTCCATTGATCAATCCAAGAGAAGGACTGGCGATCAAAAGGTCATTGAGATATGCTATGCTCTGTTTTAAGTAGTTATTGGTTTTTTGGAAACTTAAATTAAGGTGATTTATGCTTACTTTTTGTAGACTCTTCGAAGGTTGGCTCAGAATCGTGAGGCTGCTAGGAAAAGTCGACTGAGAAAGAAAGTAACGTGTTTCTGCCTGCTATGCCTTAGTTACTTTCAAGTTAATTAACTATTTTTGTTATTGAATTCTCTTTTTCCGGTAATTTTTTTAAAAAAAGTTGGTTTTGCAATTCTTTTTTGGTGGCTAATAGATGATATAGCCTATGTTGGTTTTCTGTTATTTGAGGTAATGTATGTAACAAAACTAAAAATTCATTTGATTAGCCTTAGTATCTTACACAAATGGTTGTTCTTGCCATTTGGGAAGTTGATATTTGGGTGGTTGCTTTCTTTTAATCATGAAGTAAAAGAAAGTTTTTTGTTCAGTTTTTCTTCTTTTCCCATTGTTACATTTTAAACTTCAGATTCATGTATTGTCTCATGTGATGCTAATTAAATTTATTGCGCCTAAATTAATTGGCATCATTTTCTACCCCATTCCATTTTGATGTCTTAAGTTAATGAATTAAGCATATTTGGATCATTTATAGGTTTTGGTTTTGGATAGGCTTATGTCCAGCAGCTCGAGAACAGTCGACTAAGGCTTGCACAGCTAGAGCAAGAACTTCAACGAGCTCGGCAGCAGGTGTAAGAAGTCACATTTTTTTTATTTGAATTATTATTATTTTATTTTTAATCCTTAATTGTAACACTAAATTTGCTTTTTCCTTTGCTTTGGCAATCTGCTGCAGGGAATTTTTATTCCAGCTGGATTTTCAGGGGATCATGGAGCCGGAAATGGTAAGGAATTTTGGTGTAAAAGTTAATTTTTGAAATGAGATAGTTATTTTATGGACATTTTTAGATGAGTACCTGAGAAAACTTCATGATCCAAAAGATAATATCCTGATCATTTTGGTTTTTCTGATTGATCATACTTGCAGGAGCTGTTGCATTTGACATGGAATATGCGCGTTGGCTTGATGAGCATCACCGGTTGATCAATGACCTAAGATCGGCCGTCAATTCTCATATGGCCGATAATGAATTACGCCTTGTTGTTGATGCTGTAATGGCACATTACGATGAGATATTCCAGCTAAAGAGCATTGGCACAAAGGCTGATGTGTTTCATATGCTCTCAGGCATGTGGAAGACACCTGCAGAGAGATGTTTCATGTGGTTGGGTGGTTTTAGATCTTCTGAGCTTCTGAAGGTAATTAAGCACATAAATTTCTTTTTTCAGTCTATAGTTCTTGGTTTTTCTGTCTGAACTATTCTGGTTGACTTAGCTTCGAAGTTTTTTTGGTTTTATACTTTAGATACTTGGGAACCACCTTGAACCATTGACCGATCAACAGTTAATGGGCATATGCAATCTGCAGCAATCCTCTCAACAGGCTGAAGATGCCTTGTCCCAAGGAATGGAGGCTTTACAACAAACGCTTGTCGACACGCTTTCCTCTACATCTCTAGGTCCTGCTGGTTCTGGAAATGTTGCTGACTACATGGGTCAAATGGCAATTGCCATGGGCAAGCTTGCAACATTAGAAAACTTCCTTCACCAAGTAATATATCTTTTAGTCTAATCTAATTTGCACTGAATTTACTAAAGTTTTAAGCTACTTATTGTTTCTCTTGCTAGGCTGATCTTTTAAGGCAGCAAACCCTGCAACAAATGCATAGGATTTTGACGACACGGCAAGCTGCTCGAGCTCTTCTTGTTATCAGTGATTACACTTCTCGTCTCCGAGCACTCAGCTCTTTATGGCTTGCACGCCCTAGAGATTGACAATTCCCTCCGAGCAAATCCTCACGTGGATTTCCATGAATGATTATGCTATTTAACATTGTTGAGACAGTGAAGGTGAGTAAGCATCATTAGTATTGTTTTTTGACGGCCAAAATTTTCTTCTAGTTTGCCTATTGTCAAAGATGAAGTTCTGCATTTTATAGAAATGACAGATAGTATATTTTACATCGATTAGTATCTCGAGGGTTGCTGGGGATAGTTGTCTTACATATGTAATGAAGGCATGTCCACTTAGTTACAGATGGACAAAATATGCTGAATCTAATGAGTTCGTTTTACAGTTTACTAAAAGGCACCTAAATCAATCTTTTTGGCTGTTCTCAAAGTCTGGGGTATCATTCTATGTATTGTAAAAGGCCTTATTATTAAAAATATTTCTACCAATGTGCATATACCTAAATCAAATCTTTTTGGCTGTTCTCAAAGTCTGGGGTTTCATTCTAATGTATTGTAAAAGGCCTGATATTATAAAAAAATATTATCTACCAATGTGCATATATACTATATATATATATATATATATGTATATATATTTTATATATATGCTGTCAAACCTCAAACCTACATTTTTTTCTTCATAATTATTCGACTTAGAATGTCTAAAGTCCAATTCATCATTCAAATGAGTTCTACCTAAAGGTTTGTTTGAGCTAGAGTTTACAATTTTATTTCAATGCTGATTATATATGCTGTCAAACACTCAAACTACATTTTTCTCATAATTATTCGACTTTAGAAGTCTAAAGTCCAATTCATCATCAAATGTTCTACCTAAAGGTTTTTGAGCTAGAGTACAATTTATTTTCAATGTGATTACAGTTTATTTGATGATTAATTCTGCTTCACTCGCTCGTATACTCGTCTGCTTCTGTTATTCATACTACCTGCAAATTATACAAAGAAATTTTAGCAAATGTGCAAAACTTATTTAGCTATGTGTATATATTCACAAGCTCACGATCCGGAATACAATTCCAGTACTAAGGCTAAAACTCTTCGCAACGAGATATCGGCCTTCGCTTTTAGCATGTTAAAGCACGTACCATGCACATATCTCCTAGATTTGACAGTTCGAGGGATGAACACTCCTGTTCCATTGCTGCTGCTCCACAAGTTCACAAGCCAAGCTGGTACTATTTCTGTATTACGTGTTTCTCTCCAGTTGAAATAACTTCCAGGTTGTAGCTTTGCAAGAAAACATCCGGTTAATCTGTTAGGACCAGGTTCTGGTTTGATTTTGAAGAAATCATCGACCTCGGCAGTCAGAAGCAAAACCTGTCTTTTAAGCTCTACATAAAAAACACCTTCAAAATCCAGAAAATGGTCTCTGATGATTTGATTGTTGGCTTATAGAGATTAGGAGTGGAAAATGAAAACTTATGGTTTGCTTCAAGTTGAGAAATTTGTAGGATTAAATATATGCACGGAAACTTCTTTGTTTGAAGCAGAAGATAATTAAAGGTCCATAAATTCTGGTTAAGTGAAATGTCTCCAAATGGAATATGAATTTAGAGGAATGTCTCTGTTTTTGTAAGTTAATGGATCTGGCACTAGGAAGATTTAGTCTCAGTCGTATGCCCTGATTAAAAAAACTAATCAATCATATGATTATTTAGGCACTAAGAATTAGACACATGTCATCGTTTGGGTGCACAAAATTAGAGATCAACAACACCCCTATGGGATGATTTTTAATTGTTCCACGTGTCATGTACAAGAATTCTCATTCTCTGTTTCACTTTATCATTAATCTGCTATGGTTGGAATTTTATAAATAAAGAGAATGATTATAGATTAATAGATATAAACTATTAATGCAATTCAGCAAATAAGCTGCTCTTAATATTATTCATTGTTTTTATAATATGATTAGAAATTATTTTTTTCCACTTTAAGAAAAAATGTCGGAGATAAGTGGTTTGAATCTTGATTTTTATATTTTTCTGAATTAGAATTGTGCTAATCATTCAAGATAGAAATTTATATTGTTGTACAACAGGAATTATGTATGCTAGAAACATACAATACAAACATTGAAGAATTTGCTTTGTGCTCTATGCTATCCACCCTATATTTCTTCCCTTGAGCCGTTCACAAATTTCATAATTGCTTTTTTGCTCTGTATATACTACCCTTCTCATTGTTCATCCTCTCTGCAAATCAGCAATATTAACATTAACTAATAATTTAAATTAGTCAGTAGTCACCAATTATCAGTTGGTCTAGTGGGATGAGACATTGGATCTCTTAAGTTGGGTTCGAACTCTGACATAATGGATCCCTTGAGACTAATTGAAGTGTTATTGCTTTATAATTGAAAAATAAAACACTTAAATGCCTAAACTTTTTTATTAATGGGGCTCTAAATAATGTTTCCATTTTGGAGATGGCTGTAATAGTATGGAGGGTAGCTATGAATTCTGGAAAGAGATTATTCTAATGTTCTGAGGAGTTATATATCCAAAGAGTATGAAGATATTAGTAGAAATACCAAAAAAACGAAAAAGGATTCCAAACCTAATAAAAGAGCAAATGAAACGTACCTCCAGGTCTGTATCTTCGTCTAGATTTGACAATATGAGGGATGAAAACTCCAGTTCCGCTCCCAGTTCTGCTCCACAAATTCAAAAGCCAAGTAGGTGTTGAATTATCATAATCACTTTTCTCTCCTTCCCACCAAGGGAAATGATTACTTCCATGCTGTAATGTGCAAGAACAACAACTACTCGTTAATCTTCTTGAGTTGGATGAAAGTTTTCTCTGGGAAAGAAAATCTTCATCATCTCCATTATCATCTGCTGTTAAAAGCAAAATCTGTCTTTCGATTTCCATGTAAATCGGATCATTATCATCCCCATCACTCTTACCATGGAATTGTTGATTTTGATTCTTGAATTCCATTACAGAATCTTGATCTGTTTGTTTTAATTTCATGATAAAAATGGGATTTTACAGTTATATATATATATGTAGGAGGACTATCAAAAATGGGAAAGCTCCATTGTTTGGGTCAAAGCTACTTTAGATACAGAAATGTTGATTTGGTGAGTGTTTCTTGATTATGAGTCCAAGTCCATAGAATATTTTGAAATTTTTGTACGTTAGTTCATGTAATTAAGTAGTTTAGTTTGAAGCTGAAGTATGAGTTTTGATGATAAGTACATGCACATATGTTGCTTTCAGTTGATCGAACGGATGTGAAAATTGGTAAACACCAAGTGAAAGAATCAATAGCTGATGGACTAACTTGTAATTAGTAGTTGGACCTTGAAATTATAAAATTATGCCAATATTTGGATTGGTCAAAATTATAGACCATCCAGCAACACCTAATTCATATTCATTTTGGATTTCTTCATTTACACATATATAGAAACTGATCAAATTTTAATTAGTAAGTTCATTATTTGCTTGATGATTAAGGTTAGGGATGGAAGTGTTGTGGGTTCTCCGACATGTGAGACCCACATGCTTTGAAAAAGAAAAAAAGAAGGAAAACATGTTCTTTGAAGAAAGAAAAAAAAAAAAAAGAAAAGGAAAAGTTTACCAAGGCATGCAATTCTTTTGACAAAATGGAGAGTCGTGAATGAGTTATACATGGCTCTCTCGTAACCTCTCCTATAAATAGAGGTAGTGAAGCCTCAAGCAACACACAGTAGAAGAAGAAAAAAAAAATGTAGAGAGAGTTATCTAGTTTTAGGAAAGGTTTAAGGAACGCCAGTTTACCAATCGGGCATTCAATTTCTGAACATAAATGTGAGAGTCTGTGGAATGAGTTATACATGTGCTCTCTCGTTAACTCTGCCTGATTAAATAGAGGGTAGTGAAGCCGTCAAGCAACACACAAGTAGAAGAAGAAAAAAAAAAGTTTGTAGAGGAGAGTTATCTAGTTTAGGAAAGGTTTTTCTAAAACTACGGGAGAAAAAATAGTTAAGAAATTGGATTTCGGGTTGTTTTTGGGAAAACCCACTTTGTGTGCCACTATTTTTTGTATTTACTCTTTTTGTTGTACGATTTTACTATGTTTTAATAGTTGGTAAGAATTATTCGGAGTTTGTCCCGTGGATGGTAGCCTTTAAACAGTTGAGGGTAACCACGTAAATTTCTGCGGTGTCCGTATTTATATTATTTTCGCTCTATGTTGTTAATTTTCTTTCTTAATTGGATAAAAGGGCCAAACAAAGTGGTATCAGAGTTGAGGTAAGTGGGTACCTGAAACCAACACACTGGTATCAGAGCTGATGTCTTAAAAACTGTTATCAGAGCTTGATGACCACCCAAACAACAATTGGTTATCAGGGAGCCGAAAGTTTCGGCAGTTTCAGCGGTTAGATAGCCTGGTTACTGGATCCGTGGATATTGATGCCCAACAATTGGTATCAGAGCCGAAAGTTTCGGCAGGTCCAGCCGGTTAGATAGCGGTACTGGATCCGTGGATATATTTTAAAAATAAATATATCACGATGAAGAGAAAATTACGACGAGTCCATTGGTGCTGTCTACTCGAAAAGACGTTGCAGAATCGACTTAGTATGAATAGTAAAATAGTAACTCAAAGTTGATGGTGACCAGTACTATTGGCGTTACCGTTTCAAATAAGCCCAGCACTATTCACGCATAGTACTATTCACACATACTGTTACTATTCACGCATACAGTTACTATTCGAGTAGATTGTTACTATTTATGGTCACTATTCACATATACTATTGTTCACGTATATGGTTTATGTTGGTGATGATTTTTTGCGCAAGTCAAAATGGATAAGCAAAATGAAGCCAAAATGATCAGTCTAAATGGTGGAATTACCATATATGAGAGAAATGAGAGATCTCTTTATGTAATCAAATTGCATTTTGCCTGTGTTTTGAACTAAACCGGGAGATCAAGACTGATGAGCGAATGAGCTTTTCCAGCATTGAGCTTTCCAGCATGCATCTAAAATTCTCTCGTTGTAGAAATTTGATGATGAAGGTTTCTGTAAACACCTTCAGAATGGTCAGTGGAAGCTTCACAAAAGGTTCATTTGTGGTAGCTAAAACCGAAGGCTGTACGTGATTGCATGCGAAACTCTTCCAAGACACTTTGAGTGTAGCAGTTGAGGTAGCAGAAATTTGATAGTACAGTGAATGTGCCATAAACACACGCCACGTGAGTAAGTGAGTAAGAAAACTCTAGCAAGAAAGAACGTACTACCTGGATTGGATGAAGTTTACCTAGACAAGTGTCCTGATTGTATGGCGGGAAAGCAAAACAGAATAGCTTTCAAGATTATCCCTCCTTCTAGAATGAAGAATGTATTAAATCTGATTCATTCAGATTTGTGTGGACCATTAACGATGTCATATGGTGGAAATCGATATTTTATGATATTTATCGATGACCATTCTAGGAAGATCTGGGTATACACATTGAAGTCTTCCAAACCTGGTTGAGAGATAGACATGCAAGAAGCTGAAGTGTATCAGGAGAGATAATGGTGGAGAATACAATGGGCCATTTGATGCTTTCTGCAAAGAGCATGGCATTCGACATCAAACGACACCTGCCAAGACGCCGCAACTGAACAGTTTGGTTGAGAGGATGAACAGAACTTTGATGGAGAGAGTCAGATGTTCACTCTCACATGCAAAGTTGTCTAAAAGATTTGGGGTGAAGCGTTACTCACAGCAGTTCGTCGTTCACTCTATTTCCCTCTACAATATGATACTCCAGAGAGAGTATGGTTAGGAAATGATGTTTCCTATGATCATTTGCGGTGTTTGGTTGCAAAGCCTTCGTACATGTCTCGAAGGATGAACGGTCGAACGTCCCATTTTCTATTGAATCGAGTTGATGCGTAGAGTCGAGTCGGGCTGATCTAAAACCCGGTTCGAGCCATTAGAGTCTAGAGTGGGCTTAGAATGAAATTAAGGAGAGAAGTGGAAAAAAAGGAAAAAAAAAAAAAAAAAAAAAAAAAAAAAAAAAAAAACTACTTGAAGGAAACCAAAGATCAAAGTATAAGATTAGGACTTACTTGCCACAAAAAGATAAAGTTGAGGTATTAGTTGTACCATTTTTGACACTGGAGGTTACCATTTGATAATTTTCACATAAAAATCAATGATATTCTAGGACTACCTCTGTTGAGTTCCGAGTTTCATTTTTCATTTCTCATCCTTTATCTTCATCTTCTTTCTCTACTTTTTTCTCTCATGCTTTCCTTTTCTCATCACCCTTTTTATGTAGTGAAGATTTTAATTTGGATTCAAAGCATTTAATTCAACTCCTATTTCTATCAGTAAAGTTAAAAAACCTTCTGTGGTAATTTCTACTTTGTGTGAAATTCATTTGGTTATATTTTTTAGAGTATTCATAAGAATTCTTTATGTATAGGAGAGGTGATCTCAAGCGGTAGATAGGAAGCTTAAGAAAAAGGATTCAAGCTTGTATGAAGTGATAGGTGTGCTATCTCCTTTAGGTTTAATTTCATTTCCTTGCATGATAATTTGTTAATTTTAAAGTTGAATGAGGAGATTATGTTGCTAATATTGAGTAAGAAGACTGAAATATGAGTGAAAAAAGCATGAGATGAATATGAATTAAATGGAAGTATGATATTGAGTTCATGTGCTGAAACAAGTTTTTGCTGGATAATTATTACCAGTTAATATCTACCTTGATTTTTACCCATTTTAACGATGGAATTAGGAAGTGTCATAGAAGAGTTATTTGTTCCTCTATGTGTAGCTTATTAATGGGTTTATTTAATCACCCAAATCCGGAGTTTTATTTGAGAGCATTGACCAAAAGAGTACAGACTGCGTCGCTGGAAAAACACGTCGCGCGCTCAGCGAATTTTCATTTGCGCGCTCGCGAATTGTGTTCTGGAAACTCTCTGAGCTCTCATTTGCACTTCTCGTTCTCCGCGGACTTTGCATGAACGCGCTCGGCGAATGTGTTCTGATGCTCTTTTGGATTCATTTCAATGCAATTGTATTCCTTTGCTCCAACTTGTATGCTCCAATCATTTTAAAACAAAAAGACTACATTTTACAACAAAAATACAACATTAAATCATGTATCAAAGCAACATGCAAGCATGTAAATGATGTGAAATGAGGTAAACACAATTTGTAATTATATTCTATGCAATTGTGAAATGATGTGAAATGGTGTATGAAGTTATGAATTCTATATAATTGTATTCCTTTCTCAACTTGTATGTCTTCAACCATTTTAAAACAAAAAGACAACATGTATACATGTATAAACACAAAATGCAAGCATGCAAATGGTGTGAAAATAACATGACACAAGCATACAAGTTAGGACACAGTTACTTTGCTTTTGTTTTATCTGTTAAAAATTTTATGAAATGATGAAGCCAGTTAATTTTATGACACAAGCAAGTGAAAATAACATGACACAAGCATTGCAAATTATGACACAGTTAACTATGGCATTTGTTTTATCTATTGAACATACCAACATTATGCTCCATTGAGGTTAGTAGAAACCATGTAGATAGGCTATGTCGCGACATAGAATAGCAGATCGCGCCCCATACAGTTTGCGTACTCCGGCTTACAGGCCGTTGCAGTGGCATATGATTATTATAGCCATAAAGGCAGTCCAAGGCATACAGTTTTCATCCAGTTTCATACAGTTTTTCTTAATCACTTCGTGTTTTCACTCATAACCTTATGGAGCCATACAGATATCTTGACATAACATGCATAATTCATTACAGTTACTAAACAGCAAGAAAGATCATCAATGGTAAACTGGAGTATCATGATATTGTGTTGCTTACATTCCATCTGTGAGTACAGTTTATTTCTACATATGTATGTGCTTAATGTTTCTTTATTCATTTATGATATTCACTGAGTTTTTAAATCCATAAAGAACATCAGGTAAGATCATGAAAGTATAATGCGATATATGCTTACACGTTTATTTATTGAATCTTTAAGGAGCCATACAGTCATGAGATGTTAGGAATCATAACTTATCTGATGTAACTTATATGATGTAACTTAATCATAACTTATATGATGTAACTAAAAGTGCCTAAGTCATACAGCATCATGACGTGCAAGTAAGACAATGAACATATCCTGTTATGTATTCTTACATGTTTATTGATTTCATTCATACAGCATAATGAATAGAAAGTAAGATCATGATAGTATCATGATATGTGTGATCAAAGGTTCATGTAAAGGAGTTAGGAGATAATTAGAACTCAATTATTATCTTAGAATTAGAAGTTTATTCTTCACTATAA